TTTACAAAGGAAGAGGGCAGAATGCAGAAGAAAAAAAAAAAAAAGACAGTTTGGTGGTAAGTTAGAGGCTAAAAACAAAGTGTAGCTAAAACATTGTTAAATTACATCATTTAACTCCCTGCCCCCAAATTCCCGGATTCCCCTGCAATTTGTCGCAGTGGTCTGGGCGCCCTGAGGCCGGGACCGAGCTGCATTCCCGCTACTGAAACAAGAATAGTAGCCACACTAACCCAGCTCAGCCATGCCAACAATACCATAAATCAGAGGCAGTAATCAAAGAAAAGACAAACACTGTGTCAGAGAAGTCAAATGAACTACCATTAGCTCTGAGATGTGTTGCATGGACCTCTGTAATAACACCCTCTGCTCTGTGGAGGAGAGAGATTTGACGTCAGGCCGGTCTCAGTTACATGAGCTCGTGTCGTTTATTTCTCCCACATCAGACAATGTGACAAATAACCTCTAATGTAGGCTTTGACAAAAGAGAACTATCAATCGATAAACACAAATAGATGTTTTATTGTCCTGCAAACAGTGTAAATGGCAGCGGGAGGTGCTTTATCAAAGAAGTGCCATATTAGCGCTCTGCAGCACAACACCTAAAAACATTTATATCTTTGTCTTTAAATGCATTAGGAACCAATTCAACAGTGAGTACCTGAATGTAAATTAAAGCCATCATGTGAGAAGAAATAACTTTGGGCAGTTAGTGATGAAAAGGTTTTTGTAGAAACGATAAAGCATTGTTAAAGACAGACATTCAGACAGACAGTTATTTTATATAATGGGACTAAAGTCTGAAAATACTTTATTTCCACAAGCAGTTTTTGTTTTTTTGTGCCAAACTTGGAAAAAACAGTTCAGTAAAAACTGCAAATTTTTCCAGACTTAACCAGACCCTGTAGGAGCCACAAAATAAAACATCACCAGCTTGACCATTCTGGGATGCAGAGACTGGGGAATCCTGGGTCTGAGTTAAGGCTGGGCAATTAATTGCATGTGCAATATTAATGCAATTTAGAAAAATACAATTTTTAAATGACAGACACTAATTTTAGGTCACATTGCATTTAATAAAACTAAGCCATTTAGGTGGCTGTAATATATTTAAAGTAAGTTTGCTGCCACACAGAAAGGTAGAGAGAGTTGCAGCTAGCATGCAGATAAATGCATGCAAGTAGAACTAGGAACTTTTTTACACAGAGGTTATAGTGAAACCTTCAACAATAGACTCTGCAGAAGCAGTCTTTCACGGTCATGAAAATACTAAAACCCTGAAATCAAACATTACAAGATTTTTGGTTAGTATAAAGGCAAAAATCTAAATAAACATCACAATATGGGTTAAAAATTAAACATCTGATCCTTTTGGCAAAATTGTAGAATTTGAATTAATACAACTGCACTCTAAAAATCCCATAAAACAACCTGAAAGAGTGGCCATTAATAGTTTAACTTGATTTTAGTGATGAGGACCATCCTGAACTATGATCAAACAAACCAAGTCATCTGTTGCCCTGCAGCAGAGACTCTGGTTCAGCTAAGCAATGCATAAAAACATTGCTCCTTGGTAGCCATCAAAACACAGAGAGCAAGAGCTGCTTTCTCATCTCTCTCAAAGGATCTCACAAGTGATCGTCTCACTTCTTGCTAAACAGTGTCACAGCTTCCCCTCTGGCGACAAATGGCCTATTATCTCATTCCCACAAATGCACATGTGCAACGCAACAGGATGAAATGAGCGTTTAAAGCTTCGGCGTGTTACGTGAATGCGTATAAAGCATGCTGACCCACGTGACAGGTGCTCTGGCCCAGATACGAACACTCATGCACACAATCCAAACATGCAGATACAACCCAGTGATAGTAATGGGTATCTGTACATGACTATAGAATAAACAGACACCCATGAGAGAACAGACTGCCAGAGAGAAACCGACAGGGAAGAAGGTGTGCACCGAGGCAAGTTGATGCAGAAAGACTCAATTTAAAATGATTTATTTGGATAACCTCCAGCTTTTATCAGAGCTGCCAAAAAACTCTTTACATAAATATTACAGACGTTTAAAAAATTCTGCATGAAATCAGAAAAATACTTCACTTCTCCCATTACAGTGTTTGGAATCTGCCTTTAATTTGCAGAACTTATAATTGCAACAACAACTATTGGGATTATTAACAGGTTTAGCTACCACCACGTATTGGCAGGTAAACCGTTGGACTATCATTAACTAAACTTAGCTCAACGATTTAATGCTATTGTTAAATACAGCTGTAATAAATGCACGTTCATCCCCCATCCCTTCCCCCTCAGAGAGCCTCCGTCCAACAAGGCTGAATATGATTTTGCAAAGCACAAGATGAATTCCTTACATGTGGAACAGATCTGAGAAAGGATTGTAATATTCCAAATAATCTTGTATTCATAGTGCTTCAAGCAAAACTGATGTAGAACACTGGCTGCTGGCGATTTAGCAGGTTGTGCACCATCAGATTTTTGTTGCAACTCGTCCTCAACGACTTTTTGCAAAATGAGATGATAAATAATTTTATCATGCAATTAGCAAGTTCTGACACGAATGATGCGAAGCTAAAACTTGCATTGTCACTAAGTTACTTGCAATATGCTGGTGGAGATTATAGTGGAGAGCATATTATTTGTTTCCAAGTTTGAAGAAGTTTCGCTTCACATCTAGGAAGCTTTCTCAGTTCAACTGAAAAAGCTTCCTGGATGGGAAGCAAAACGTATTTAAACTTCGAAACCAACTCCAGTGGATTGTTTTTTTGGAAGGTTACTTGCAGCACCGCTCCTAACCAGCAGAAGCTGCCATTTTTTATTCTACCCATGTGATTGAAATTTAAGACTCTTTTACAAAGCAGTCCTGGCCAAAAGGCAGCAACAACACCAAGACTTTGATGTAGAAACTGTCTGCAGGAATGTTACATCATCTGTTGTACTTTTATTAATTTTCAGTATTTATGCTAATATTTAAAGTTGATTGTACTGCATAGGTTTTTATTTAAATACTGTAGGTATATTATACTGCCACCTGTGGCCAAAATACAAAACTGCAGCACTGTTCTGCCCATAACGTTCTAGTAGTAGTGCATGCTCTTACTTGACAAGGTGAGGGTATATTTTCTTTTTTTTTTTTTTTTCCTTACATGGAGCCGTTATTGGAGTTTGAGTTGAGCTGGATGTGGGTCACTTCTGATTATCTATAAAATTTATCTTAAATATAATGCTTCGACTGTTAGATTGGACCCATTTAACGTGGACGCACTTGACGTCATATCTGCAAGAACATCGCTGTAACTTCTGAGCCAAAGTAAATTAAGGAAAAAAAGGCAAAAGTTTTATAGATGCATCAGCGCTGAACTACTGAGGTGTCAGTCTGCACATAAAACAATGTTTTAGTCGTAAAGGGTCAAATAAAAAGAGTATTTTTCAGTAAAAACTTACTAAATGTATCTTTATCCACGAGGAAGTTGTAAAATAAGCAGTTCACCATATTCTAAAACTGTAATAGCTCCAATGTGAGGTCACATATCCGGTCGCTAATCGTCAGGTTGGTAATTGAAAATGCTTAAGAAATGGCTGAGTACGTCTAATTACCAAAAAAAAAAAAAAAAAAAAAACGCAATGTTGTAAATTTATGTTTGGAAAAAAGATATTTTAAGCATGCAGACGGTTCTGCAAAGCACAGCTTCAACTGCATCCCCCAACTCATAGAAACAGATGGACCACAAATGGAGTTGAGTTCTGAATGTTAGAAAGTCTGGCTTGGAAACATCAACCACAAAAATCTGCCTTCGAAAACGGCAACAATCTGCTCCAGTTTCTTTAATTCATGCAAAACAAACTCCATTACCTGGCGCTGGACTTCCCTACAAAGATGGCACTTGCAACACTTCCATAAAATTTGTTAGAAGTATGCTTTAATCCTTAAGTATTTTATCCAGCATTAGTCACTTCCTATTCATATACATATTACATATTACATATTCCTATACATATTACTAAGAAATTATTTTGCTAATCGATTTATCTGTCGATTATAAATGATTGCAAAATGTTCCTTAAAGAAGAAACTTAACAGAATTTAAACCAGGTGAAACTACAACATTGGATAGAGCATCTTTATTTTACACTCGAACCTGGAAAACAGTTGGAGTTTAACACTAAGAGGAAAAACTCCTTAATTGTTCAGTATTAGGAAGAAAAGTTTATTCACTAAGTGTAAAAATGCAAATATGTTAGCCATTTAGTTTTCTCTTTTTCTAAAGGAAAGCAAAAAAAATGTTTTGTATTTTAGTTTGATAAAATAAAGAGAAAGAACAAAAACTGCTTATTGCTTGAAAGGAAGCCTAACTCATCAAACTATAGGATTACACCAACTTAGTTCTTACAATTTCATGTCTGCAGCACAGCCATGGCTAAATTGTTGAAATACAGCATCTTACAGACCTGCTGCTTATTGCATTTGAACAATTACATCAGCTAAATGCCCAAAATGTAAGATCTAATATGACTGCACTAATGGAGAAAACAAATGCAGCCAAATAAAGATATGAAGGGGAGGATGGATGTACGGAAGTGGTGATGATAGAAGGAAAGGGAGACGGGACTGATAAAGACCACAAAGACATGAGGGAGGAGGCGGAAGGGAAGAGAAGAAGACATCAACGCAAAACCACAACACACTGAAGAGACCAATTTTGGTAGAGCTAATGGACAGGAAAACCGCAATATGGGAATTTCAAGGAGCTAAGATGAGGAAAAGCAGTTAGCAAAGATAAAACGATTCAGATGGAGATGGTGTATGGTCATAAAGTGGTGTTAAAGTGGACAAGTAAATGTTTTTCTCCCATTAAGCCTCATGTTGGTACATTAAAAACCTATTGCAGCAGATTTCTGATTCATCTTATTTGCTTTTTGTTTTGTTTTTTTGTTTTTTTCCAAGAGAGCAAGTGTGAAATCAACATCTAGGCTTTCTTACCAGGCCGGCCCCTGGAATCCAGGATAGGAAAAACCCCTCTGGGTCAACTTTGAGGGTCCCCAAATTTGGGGCGCTGTTCGAGTCCTAGAGGGAAACAGAAATTGAGATGTCAGATCTACGACAAAGACAAAATAAGAAATTAATTTTAAAAAACAGAACATCCATTATATTTACAGCCAAGAAAAAAAAAACCTTGAAGGATCTCTAAGATTGTAGCTGTTATTTCTAAGTGTCCGTATGCGACAAGTTTTGTGTGTGTAGAGACTACAGCTTTCATGCACTGTCATAACTTAAAAAACATCTGCTGTTCAGTATGGCTGATTTTCCTATCAGGAAGCCAGATTATAGTGCCTTGCTCTGATAACATAGATAATCATAAAACCAAACCATGGCTGAAAGATTATTGAAGAGTAGAAGATGTTTTAATTTGAGGAAATTGTGCTTTCAGTGACTCTTCCGTCACTTTCATGGAACAGATAAACAGATCACTGTAATTGCCTTAGTTAAAATATAACAAATGTTGTTAACCCTTTATAGGGCAATCAGTGAAATCCCTTAAAGGTCCACGTTTAAAGCCAATAGTGTTATTATAATCCAGGGCAAAACCTTATTGCCTTTGTAACATTTGGTGATGCAAAAATTAATGTCAGTGCAATAACAAGAAACACCAACTTGCCTGAATATATAAAAAAAATAAATAAAAATAAGTGTTTTTACACGAAATTCGGGAAAAACAACTTTTTTTGGTACAACATAAACTTAGAGACATTAATGCTAATACTGGCACTTACATGTTTTAGTTTATAAACATAAATATAATTGTTAACTAGGCTTATTAATTTCTTAACTTTATTTTTTTACTTTTTAATAAACTTTTTTCCTTGACTTGTAACTAACTTTTTACCTTTTTTCTTGCCTTTTTAACTTTTTACCTTTTTTAAGTTAATATCCAGTAGGTAATATATCATCCAAGGGCTCATCTAATTGGTCAAATGTCAAAATAAGATGTACAGCCATGTAGAAGTATCTTTGCTGAATGGCTGGATATAGATCTTGTGTTTCTAGACCTCCCTGAGGGACGGAGAGGACTCCATTTGTAAGTGATCAGAAATGGTAACTTGCCCAATAAAGGGTTAAAGCATTATTAAATAGAATTTTTTCTACAGAAAAAGTTCAATTGCAATGACACATTCATAAGCAGCAGAAGGCAATATCAATATAACACATTTCACTTTCACTCAGTATAAACTTCAATCAAACCTTTGAAAGAACTACACTTCCTTATTAATAACACTGTAATATGATCTAAAGTAACGTTAAGTAACGTTTGCTAATATTTCAACAGGGAAAAACTTGAAATCCTTTGGCTAATTTATAAACGCCGCTGGTGACAATGTTCATAAACACTGTTGGGTCATTGAATATCTCCAGGTGGTGTTTATAAATCTAGCTTGAAAGAGCGATTGTAGCTCCTGCTTTCATCTGGGGTTTGTAATTACTTATCAGAACTTGTAAATACCAGCTTTCATTGTAAACAGTGTTCCAAAATACCAGCTGGCTTTAACATGGTGTTTAGAAATTAAAGGAATGAAATGTGCCGACTAATCACAGCCATAAGTTTGGGGTCCTGTACTGGAATTCCCAGATCATATGTTTATTGTTTGAAAAACTGCCATATCTGATAAATGACACTTTGCTTAGATTTTTTTCATAATTAACATATCTTTAGCCTTCATAATAAAAAAAAAAGAGAGATTGCATTGGATGCTACAGTCTCTAATCCGTTTGTGTCATATAAACCTTTCCTATCTGCGCTCACATATCCAAAGCTGCTCTAGAGCGCAGCTGAAGCACTTTTATGAATTTGCATTTACTTTTTAAAAGTAAAGAACTCGTAAACCTAAACAATTTTTTTTACTTTGAGCTTTGCTGGGGCATAATTCACCGGAATCACTCTTCAGATCATAACTGCCCAGCATCTTTTTATGCATTTGTCAACAAACACCAGATGCTCTCAATTTAAGATTTTAGATTTTTTTTTTTCTTGTTTGAGAAAAAAAAAAAACAGTTTCTGTTTGATGAATGGCTGAATAATGAGAGGGTGAATCTGGAGAAACCATTTTGGTAATACAAAGTGACCTAAAACATGGAAAGTTCACCAACCTTTAATGCCAGAAAATCAAAAATACTTAGAAAAGTTTTTTTTTTTTTTTAACCCAGTCTTTGTGAACATCAGGAAACAACTGTATTAGATTAGCATTCAACAAGTCATATTAAAACTTAGAGCAAACATGCCAGTGTTAGCCTAGCACAAACAGTGTATTTGGATGCACAGAATCCATATAAGCAGCCTTAAATATAAAGATGATCATGTAATATACAGAAAATGATTGAAATGTAAACAGAAGCACAAGCATTCAAAAAAATATATATATACCAGTGTTGATTTGTTGATGTCTTGCAGATGCCATAGATTTACCAGGATTATGGCTAGATATTGCACACATCAGAATTAGAAATGATTCTTAAAGAATCGTTTGACCAGAACCCCAGAGAGCAGCGGTACCACTGGGTTATGGAGCCGCTTCTTTTGTGTTTCATGTTGAGTAACATTTATTTTCATCCCCTGAAACGCACACCAGTCAGCCAGCATGAAGGTCTCATTTACATTTAACATAAAGATGGCACATGAACCCGAATCCTCATGTCAGCAGCATCATCATAATGGAGTTATACAACAGACCACATATGCACGCTTACAGAGGCCCTGGCTCATCAGTTACAGTCACAGACAATAACACAGTCCAGATATGGTGGAGAGCAGCAACGATCCTGATTGATTTGAAGGTGAAAAATGACTCAGGGACAACAGTCACTACAAGCAGTAGCGGCTTAGAAAAGAGCAGGAATAGGGTGGAAATTAATAAAGAAAACAAAAATAGAAAACACAATTTAGAATAGCTTAATGCTGGACATTTAAATATAAAATGGAGCATAAAGCTGCATTAAATTAATTAAAGAAACCACTGATAAAGCAAAAATCAAACCACAAATGTATACTTAATTAACATGGACTCTATTTGTTATGAAGAAACGCCAAGGGTTTTAAAGTCAGTGTTGATATAAAGCTAGTAATAAAGCCTTAAATGCCCTAAAGCGTTACAAAAACATACCTTCAGTTTAGGCTCCAATGTTGGCTAGAGATAAAATGGGGCAAAGGTTTGGAATTGGGAGAAGGATGGAACCAATAAAAGAGGGATGGAACCCAGGAATGAACAAATGAAGAGAGGGGAGAGGAAAAAGAAATAGAGTCAATAAAACACGATAAAACCTTATCAGGGCATCTTAATTCACTGTAAATAAACTGATACAGTAGCATTTCAAATGTTTTAAATATATAAAAAAAATGTAAATCTATCAAAGGAAGGAATGGTCCTAAAACAACAATCATCATCAACCTGTTTTCCCTTATTGGCTGCATTAACCCCATGAGGGGCAAATGTGTGTGTAAAATAAAAGGTCCGTTTTTATGCCTATACTGATAACAAAATGTGTTATTGAACAGCTTTCAAGTGTTTTTTTTTTCCTCCTTTTTCATATACCAACTTTTACTATTTCTATTTGTTTTCTACTGTATAATGTACTTACAAACCACTGTTCTTCACTTATTAATTGTTAAATTGTTATATGAAGTAAAAAACAAATGTATAAGAAAATTTAAAAAATCAGAGCACAAAATGTTAGATCTTTTGGCTCACCATGAAAATATGGCCACAGGCTACATGATTGCCGGTTTGAAGCAGTTAACGAGAAAAGCTCTGAATTGGTTTTCAAGTCAGAAAAGGTCAACGAGAGCTCAACTGTTCCCAAAGCTAGGAGAGGAGATAGGAGAGAAACAGGACTAAGCATTGAAAAACAGGCCATCAAACTCTATCTTTATCTGTATTCAGAGATGTTGATGCCCACATCCAGGATGGGGTCACAGGCAATCAGTGCACCAGATTAATCTGTTATTAGCAAAAAGCAAAGAGAACATCAAGTTAGAGGTTGAACTAACAAATATATAAAATTGGAGAACAGAATTTGAATAAATCTGAATTCTAAAAAGGAGTCCTCCATGTCCTCCAGCAGGTTAAGCCTTGAGTTGCGTAAAACTTAGCAGCAGCGGTACATATTTATCAATCTCTCATGTGCTTTCATGTTATGCTGCTGCAAAAATGAGGTTTTACAATAAAAGTGCATTTCTGCAACTTGGGAGCCAGTCGAGGAGTTAATGCATCCTTGGTTTAAGAGTCTTGTTTTGTTTTATGTGGGCTTATTCTCATCACAAAAATTTTATTACAGATTCTCAGCATGTAGTTTAGGTGATACTGAAAAAAATTTGCTTGTTTTGGGAAAAAAAAAAAAAAACTTTCTCATATTAAACTTTTGTTGAAATGGATTAAAGTGAACCTTTTCTTTAAGTGGCTAAGAAAAGCATTGTTAATTGCTCCACATGAATTTAATAGAAAGCAAAGTTCTGTTACACTGGACAGCTATGAAGTGCCTTTAGTCCATTTCTGTTTAGCTAGAACTCAACATGCCAAAACATTAACAGGACCGTGAGCTTCTTAAAGAGACATCACAGTCTGAATGGAGCCTCTGACATGAGGTCATAGCCTTACAATTGTAATCACAGCAGCACATTTAGGATCGTACGGCTCCCTGGATGTCCCCGTGAATAAACCGAGGACAGGAGTTCACTCTTTTATAGAACAGAGTTCACCTTTTTATGCAACTACACAACATTTCTCAGTTGGTGGGTTTATGTGAAGATATAGCAGATTTTATTCTCCTAATGTTGCGACTTTATTCTCTTACTGTTACGATTTTATTCTTGTAATATAAAACTTTATTCTCATAATATTACGACTTTATTCTCCTATTAAAAAAAAAATAAAAATCCTGGCCCTAATAGTCAGTCCAGAAATCAGTAAAACTGCTAAAACTGTTTATTTCAAATTATACTAAAGATTTATTTAGTTTGACCTTTGACTATGCCATCTACATTGTTAGTCAAGTTTCACGACTTTTACGGAGAAAAG